TTTTTTCTCTCTCTTTTTTTTTTTTTTTTTTGTGCAGTTCAGTGAAAGAGGGAGGTTTTAGTGCGAAAGTTCTCTACAGGTTTAGCAGTTCTCCCTGGTATGTCTCAAGGTTTTCAGGATCTCCCAGATTTTAACTTATTTTAGCAGCCTCACTGAAGGATTACATTTAGGATGAACACGTTTGTTGCCCAACACATTGGTGGGTAGAGAGGTATATAGATGCTACAAAAGCAACTACATCAACACTGAAGAGCAGGTGTAGCTACGGTAATAAAGTTAGGAAGAAGTATACTACTGTCTGCAACTGCAGTCTTCAGCCTCTCCTGGCACGGAGAGCTCTACAACTTCCCCACTGGAAGTGGAAGTGGGTCCCACAGTGTGGCTGGAACCAATTTAAGCCTAAGGACAGCAGACTGCTGATTTTAATCACTACATGGAAGAAGCCCTTGGAATTTAGGGACTGTTAATCCATAAACACAAAGTCTGGTGTTTGCTGGGCTTAAAACATGTTATAAAATAGCTCTTGAACTCCACTGTTCATGTCAGTGAAGTGCGAGATCTTAGTCCAAATGCGCTGAGAATCCCTGTAAAGCTGTAAGTTGTGCTTGCAGCGGAGGAAGTACAAATTGAGGGTTCTGTTCCTGTCTTCTGCATGAATTCTTGCCTGATGCCAGACAATTCCCATTGCCCCTAATCCTGGACTCTAGGTAGTAAGCAGAAACCAGGCTGTTGACTTCAGTTGGGTACAAACTCAGACCAATAAAATCCTGTGTGGATAGGTTCAGATTCAGAAAATCATTCAACATACACTTAATTCAAAGTCAAACGTGTATAAGCACTTTGCTTCATTAGATCTTATTTTTTTCACTTGAATTGGAGGTAATCTTTCTCTGCTTGACCTATCGAGGTCACTGAAGTTTTGTGTTCATAGAATGGTTTAGGAACCCTGGGTATCGTTGGTAAATGCACTCTGTGAGGTACTTATTTTGCAGAGGGCATGATTGTACCTTTACAAAAGGATCAATAGTAGTCTTCAAGCATTTGTGCAGCCATGCTGATCAACTGTTAATTTTCTGATACGTTGCCTTTTTTTTTTCCTGCCCCAGAAGCTGCAAAGAATTCTGTTCTTCATGTAAAAGCTGAAGTCCATAAATCTCTGGACAGTTACGCATCCAGTTTAGCAAGAGCTATTGAAGCTGATGTGAAAATCAGTTTGTTTGGGGAAGATGCTTTACCAGGAGCTCTGTTCCCTGTGCGGACTGTTCCAGGAAGCAGTATGAACACACGGCGTGGTATCAGGCCCCATGCTAGCCAAAGACTTCAGTTGCAGAGCATCGATGAAGGGAGTATTTGACAGGAGCACTGGAGTAAGAAAACAGAATGAAACCACTAAGCGGGACCTACTACAGCTGTTACTGTTTTCACAGAATCGGGATACCTTGCCAGGATGTTTTCAGTGTTTTTTCAACGCTTGAAAACCAGCTGAATTCTGGTGCTTACATCAAGCATTTTACAGCAGTATTTGTTTACTGGTTAGGGTGCTATTGACTCTTTTGTGCCATGTCTTAAATCTGTCGCACAGTGCATAGGAATGCAGGGTTTGGTTTCATCAACCAGATCATTAGTCTGTTGAATCTTGGGTTCAGTATTGGCCAAAGCCAGTACAGGAATGAAAAAGGAAAAGTATGTGCAGTGTTTAATTCATGATTGCATTCATCCTTTTCTGACCACCAGAATAATCAGTTTATACTTGATAGCTGGAGTGCTCTGATAGGAGCTTGTGCATTGGGTACCACATACAGCCTTACTATCACAGACTGCCAAATGACGGAGCATGGACTTCACTAAGGGACAAAACCTGAACTTTTCAGAGAGCTCATGCAGATTGTGGTCCTGCTTACCCTTGCTAGTGGATACTTCTGACTGTTCAGCCATCGGAATGCTAGATCTGAAACTGGATTGTGCGTTGCTTCTGCGTTATGGCACACCAGCTTCTCTAGGTGTAATGGGTGGAAGCAGACCTGTGCTGGAAGTATCACAGAGATGGTATTTGAGGAAATCATCGATGCAGAGTTCTTAGTTTCTCCAAGAACTTCAGTTTACTTCCCCGGTTTTGCTTTTACTGAAAGGGCACTCTATGGCTGTGGTAATTTTGACAGAATATAAATAACATATTACCACTTTATATTCAGGATTCATCTTTTCTAGAGAGAAAGGTTCTGAGTTTTGGGTTTGTTGTTTGGTTTTTTTTTTTTTTTTTATTGTGAGGGAATGTATTTAAGCAATAGTTACCTCAGTGCGTCTATTTCTTGGGAGTATTAATTCATTAATCTCTAAAATAAGAACATTTGGCACTTACATTGCACTTTGCATGTTCTTAAGCACTGTACAGTCATTACCTTGTTAGGCCTTTGTGAAAGGGTTGATCAGCCCTGCTTGCCAAAGAAGGGGAACTCAGTAACAGTCAAGCTGCTGGCAATGAAACAAGCTGCGAAGGTGGAAAGGTTTGTTACAAAAACGAGGGATGAAGCGGATCATAGGAGAATGCCCGGCTTGAGGAACCTTTCTGTGTGTTCCCGGGCTCGCCCCTTCCTTACTTTGTGGTGGTTACAGCCCTGCCTTACTGCTTATTTCAAAGAGAGGGAGATGCGAGTACATAATTTCTTGGGGTGTCAGTAGCAAATTGACTTAAGGACCAAGGATTTGCATTTGTTTACTCTGTGTCTGCTCCCCGCCCCATGCCTCCACCTTTCCCCAGAAGTGGTTTGTGTGAGGTTTTGCTGCAAATTATTTGGAAATCAGGGGCAGGATGTTTCCACCTGGGCAAAAACTGGGTGTACACTTGTTAAATTATGGCTGCGTGTGACTTATTTGGAGGCACAAAAGCAAACTTTCTGAGGCAGTGCCTCACTCCAGTATTGTATTTAGACATCCTATTTGTCTGTGTTCCCAACTCAGAATCTGCACAAGCTTGTGTCCATCTCTGGACAAAGCAGCTTGACTTTATGAACTAGCCTGAATCCAGTTATATTCCCATGTAAGATTTAACTGCATGCTTAAAATTCAGTACGTGGCTTGCTGATTAAGAACAAGCTGTTAAAGCAAGAACACTTAAGCACCAGTAAAATGGCTCTTTGCATAACACAGGAATGAAACTACTAGTAATAGTGAGGTCCTCACTCCTGTATTTTTGGCTTCTAGTGTGTTAGATAAATTGGCACCTGTGGGCACTCGTTTAAAAAAAAAAAAAAATTAAAAATCCCAGTATTTGCCAGGAAATGCCCTGCACTGAGGTCATTATTGCTATCCTTAACATTACAATCATTGCTCATAGTACTCGGCACTCCTTAAGGTACACACTTGCCTCGGATGGCTTGAAGTATTTTATCTGCATCCCTTTTATTTCATATTCCTGCTTCAAAACAAGCTGAGCGAAATTGCCGCTGAATGTGAAAAGGGCACAGCGAGTATGAATGCATTGTGGTGAAGTCGGTACTAGCCAAAAAGGGTGTGTGTGTAGGAGGAAAAACTCCAAGGCACATGTGAAAGCAAAAAATTGTTAGTATTGTGTAAAAAAGCACGTTTTTCACGTAGGTACTGAGCCAAATTCAGCCTTCACGCAGGTCAGTGGAGTTGCATCAGTTTACACCGTGACTGAATTTGGCTGTCAGTGTTAATTTCACTAATCTGTTATTTAGTGTAAATGTTGTTAATATTTTTGCTAAACACATTATAACCTTTCCATAATTCTTACCAGAGTGATTATCTCACCTGAATTGTCATTAACAAAAGCAGTAATTAAGAAATGCACATTTTGTAAAACTGTATTCCCCATCTTAAATACAAAAGAAAAAAAAACACCTCTATTTCCAGCTTCTAATGGTCCATAGTCTTTGTTTATACTACTGTTATTTCAACTTAAATTTATTTTTAAATATTTTACTTTTAAAAGTATATTGAACTTAATGAGTGGACCTGGCAGCAGTGGCACCTGGACCTGTTTCCACGGTGGAGGGATGCATCCTGGGTGGAACACTGGTCTCTCAGCGCACGGCTGTACCTGGATACACAACCGCAGGCGCACCTCCATGCGAACAGGCGTTCGAGGTGGTAAAAATCAACCAAAACGACCTTTAGGTGCGACCGCCTGAGCCCAGGCAGGAGCCGGCGGCGGTACTTCCGCGGCGCGCGCCCTCCTCTTCCCGCCCTTTTCCCCGGCGTTCGACAACAGAACCTGGGCGGGGCCGGGGGTGGGAGAACGAAGGGGGGCGGGGAACAGTGAAGTCACGGTGCGACGGCGATTGGCTCCACCGCCCCCTCTCCCGGCTCTGATTGGACAGTCGGCAGACGCTGGGTGGGATTGGCTGATTCCAAGAGCGGGTGTGGCGGTTGTCGCCCGGCGATGGAGGCTGTGCCGTGCGCCGAGCACGGTGAGGGGCGGCGGGGAGGGGGTGTCCCGCCTGTGGGGGGGGCCCGGCCCCGGGCTGACTGGGTCCCCCCTTCCAGGGCGGGGGGGCGGGAGCGCTGCCCGCGGGTGTGCGGCTGGGCGGGGTGGACACACGCGACTGTTCTGAGGGAAATTCAGTGCTGTGTCAACGGTAACAAGCTTTTGTTTTCTTAGTCTTAGTAGGCTTTGAGTAGACTCGCCAAGTATTTTGTCCCAAATAATTGTTTTTGCCGTTGCTGTTACCTGAGCAGCTTGTCTTGTCTTTATTCTTCCTCTTTTCTTTTCCTTTCCTCTTTTCAGTGTTCCTGCTTCTCACTGCTTGATCCACGAGGACTGCACGGTGGAGCTGCAAGTCCTGGTTCAGCAATGGACACCACGGTTTGTTGTGGAGGTTTGAACGTTTGGAATTGTGTGATGGCGGCTGACTTGCAGTTTCCTTCTGGAATTGAAAAGGCTCATCCAGCCTTGAGACTGTTACTTAGCGTGTTTCAAAATGTTTGCTATTTTTATTAGCAATCATATTCAACAGTATGAATCTAAGTGATCAGATAATGTTTGTTTTTAACAGAATTGAACGTGGCTCTGTGGTTGGGTTCATCCAAGACTCGTGATAGTTGCATCAAATTCACTGATTTTAATTCTGATAAAGGTCTTGCAGCAGTCCTGGTTGGCTACCAGTTTAAAAAAAATCACATCCAAAGTTTGTCTGTTCCTGAGGTGCTTTAAAGATGAGGTGGCCCGTGCAGTTTAACTAAAAGAATAGCTGTTTTCTTACACCTTGAAATCATAGGATACTTCTGAGGCTCTGAACATAGACAATATTTTTGCCTGAGCGGTTACTTTTTTTATTTATTGTTAAAATTAAAAACAAACAACCCAAAGCCCTAGGAATCTTTATCCAGAGAACAACGCTTTTGTAAAAGCTTTGTGGCCAGTGTTCATGGCCTTTTGCTATGCAGGAGTCTGGATGTAAAGTGCAGATCAAGAGACCTTGTCTGTGATGCTTTTGGTGCAAAGTACTTTTTAAAGAACGCTTAGAGTTCTTTTACTGGCTCCTGCAGTTCAGCTCTTGTTTTATTCTTTGGTAGGTTGTTTTACCGGTGCCTTAAAAGTAAGTTGAATGGGAAGAAATGGTGTGGAAGCATCCCATGGCAGGTATGTATGTTTCATTTATGTTATAGCATCAGCTTATTCCAGCATGACTTTTTGTTCTGTGTACTTCAATCACTTCTGAGACTGCATAGTGGGAGAGTTTGTATTTTCTAGCTGAAAAGCATATCAGCCTGCTGTCCACCAGATGAGGCTTCTCTTACTCTGAAATTATGTGAAGTAATCGCTGTTCTCCAGTCTAAAAGGAAACTTGGGTTTGATCTCTGGCTGTCCTCTTTTCTTGCGGATGATGCTGTTGGGACTCAATCCCCAAAAAACATGGGAATGGCAAAGAAAGCAGAAAACCAGCAGTTTTGTTTTTGTTTTCCTTGTAAAATGTTTATCCTGATCCTGTTAAAATTATAGGAAAGATGATGTTCATAGAGAATGAAGTCTTTCTTAAGATGATCAGGTTGTGTGTATAGTTAGATAGCAGATTTTAATAATTTGTACGTTAGCATTTACTCACTTGTATATATTGCAGGATCCAAAAGCTACCACAGTGTCAAAAGCCTTAGAATCTCAGCCCAACACAGCACCTCTCTTCAGTCGCAGCGGCCAAAGAAATCCTTTCAAAGTGATAGACAAAAATTGTGAACGATCATCCTGGAAACAAATTAAGCAAGGAGACAGAGAGGAAAGTAAAGCAAAAGGAGTAAAAGCAGAGAAAGAGAGCGCGTTGGTGTCATATAAAGAAAAGAAATTAACCTCTGATTCCTCTGTAGAGAAGGAACCTCTAGAAGGGCTGAAAACTAAAA